ATTAGGTTTGAGTTTGATTGAAAGAAAGCCAAATTGCTTCTTCAATGTTGAAGGTTGCTGACCCGTACATTAGGTGAATTAAGTAGGGTTGCCATTAGGAAGACTGTGACTTTGTCTAGAGAATGATCAGAAACTTGTTTCATACTCGCTTTCCCGGGTCGCGGCAGATCATGACAGTGAAAACGCCATTTTTTTATTACTCTGTGCCTTTATTTTTCTGTAATACTGGCAATAACTTAAAACAGCTTTGTTTAGAGAGGAAGGTATATGAACGCGACGTATAAATATAGGGATTGATGAGGGCTTCCATGGATACCCTGTATGATAATCTTCCTTTAAATTGGCATTCGCGTCTGTCAAAAACCTTATTCTAAAACACTTCGAAACGAAATCTCATTTACACTTCAACATATGCTAAATATTTTTGACCCGACCTAACCAAATGTTTTGATGAACTCGAACCAAACATGTTTTGCTTAATTCATTCGCCTGAGAAATCCGTCTATAGGTCAGTTTATTTACCGTAAACATATTATATTGCCATATTTAGTTACTTTTTGGCACAGATTATTGGCACAACTATAAATTTTTTCACCACTTTTTTTTATCCGAGCTAGGATAAGATAAGATTTACACAGTGGCATAGCAAGACTCTCGTGGGCCCCCCCGCAAAAATATTTCATGGAAATGACCCTAAAAACTCTCGGACATAAGCTAAAACAACGCTTTTTTTATTTCGTTTAAAAAGCATAACATGTCGCTATAAAAAGGCAATGGTAACCTAAAATTTTCCGTTTATTTTGGTTACTTTAATTTTTTTCATACGTTCTTCCTCTTCTGCCCTTTTTCTGCGTTTCTGTGCGTCACTGAGAGGTTTTGCTTTCGACATCATTCTGACAGCCTTCGTAATTTTTCCGGTGCGATCAAACCACAAGACGCCGAAAATCGACGACTTCCAGGCATTGTTACGTAACGAAACGATTTGAGCAGAACTAACATCAACGTTATAAGATGTGCATTACTTGTTTTACAATGTAGCTTTTGGTTTTGCGGCTCAAATTTCTAAATTCTAACTGCTTGGGCCCCTTTGCGCTGTGGGCCCTCCCGCGACCGCGGGGGTTGATGCTACGCCACTGGATTTACATATTTATCCCGGGGAAGAGAAAATCCGATAAGACGGGTAATTAAACGGTCTCTCGTTCGGTTACCAGTCCAAGTCGGGTATAGGATTAGTTGGTCAGGTATCTGTTTCAGATGCATAAAATCAATGTTGGGGGATAATCAAAGTACTTAACCTATGCTCTTGGACTATTAAATCCAGTGTTTGCCTTCGTAGTAGAGTCAGAGTTAATATACTTCTTGGCACAGATTATCGGCACAACTATAAAATTTTTTTTACCTCATCTTGTGCCAGCCACTTTAGATTATGCTGTGTCACATCACATGTATTGTCTTCCAAATGTTGTTATAATAGCAACCATATTGGTACTGCAGTGATTAGTAACCCGCCGATGTGAGGGAGTTGTAATCAGTGGCGGATCAGCACTAAAAACGGGTTCTCTCATTTCAGAAAATGCAATATGACACTACGTAAGGTATTTTAACATGACACGCTTTACATAAATCCAATACCTAACTTTCGAAACGACAATAATAACGCTAGTCTCCCACTGACGTTGCGCGTTACTTATTTGTTGCGGTCGTTGTAAGGTGGTGTGTAACTGTGTATACACGCACAACTATATTGCTGTTTCAGACTTTATTCACAATCGAAACAGAACACAATCCAGATAGATAAACCTAAAACAGTTAAATGCACACAGTTACAACTCATAACAGCTAATGTATTGAATGTATCCCAGTACACGTGATGAGTACACGAAACTCAAAGTCACCTTCAGACATGAACGAACATGAAAAGTCACTATATTACAGTCGTCTAACGTCTACTCTACTCTAAAACAACAAATCAAGAACGGGTTCTCTGATCGCATTGACATTATGAAAAAGGGTTCGCTGGAACTCGCCACTGGTTGTATTGTATTATACGATGCGAGGTGTTCAACAGTGCGCAGGGCAGTTATTAAATAAATGAGATGCATCTCCCGCGACAAGAGAAAGTTGGCGATTGTCTTAATATTGTTAGTAACTGCTTCGTTGCTTTTTGTTACGGCTTCCTCCACCATCAAGTCCATGCTTCCGAAAACAAATAACTGGCTAACTAATCCCATACCCGACCTGGACTGGTTACCAGACGAGAGGCCGTGGTTCGCCGTCTTATCGGATTTCCTCTCCCCTGGGATAAATATGTCTTAAATCTTTAGCCGTTCAATCCGTGAATATATGCGTGATAGATTTTTTACTTGCCTCATCGGACTTTCAAACCTAGTTTTGCCTTTTCAGCACACGGTGCCTTCTGAAGGTTCAACAGAGTCTGCGGTCAAGCTTGTTCGTGAAATCTCTGCACTGACATATTTATTGGACACGTAGTGGACATAGCGATCGTTTCAATATTATGTTGTTGTTTAGTTCCTTGTTCTTGGACACGTTTTGAAGAAATTGCTTTTCTCTTCGAATACTGGACCAATTGCTTTGAAATTTTCAGTGGTTGAAGATACAATTTTTCTCCAGAAGGCTATTACTTTTTTTTCTCGCTATGACGTCTTCAAAATTATCCCCACTGGGTGGCGCTACGTGTCCATATATTTGAGCATAGCTCTCTTGTTTATACATCGACTCATATTTAATATTTTTGACCTGACCTAACCGAATGTTTTGATGAACTTGAACTAAACATGTTTTGCATAGTTGATTTGCCTGAGATATCAGTATATAGGCCAGTTCATTTACTATTACATTGCCGTATTTATTACTTATCGATTTTAATCGGTAAGTATGTTGATAGGTATTTGTCTGTTAGATGCACGCGATACCTCAAGAAAGCGAGATTGAATCTGCTCAAGATTTTGCATGTGCATTCATTATATGTCGTACCATGAGGCTATTGATTTTGGATGAATTATGTCGTATAATTAGCGAGTTATTAATTAATTAGTGATGGGACACAGGGTGTCACTATGGAGTAAGAGCACTGTTTGGGGATCCCCTAACCTTCGATCGATAAGTCTTCGGTCTCAGACCAATATTCTCGTTTACTTTTTGGCATTATTTGCGCAACTATAAAATTTTTCCACTGTATCTTTTGCCAGGTATTTTTTGGCCTGGGGTCTCTCGCGGAACATGGGTTGAAAATCACTGCTATAGGATTATTGGAGTCCTCGCCATCGTAGGGCGGTTCACCAATCGCATACCCGACATGGACTGGTAACCGGACGAGAGGCTGTGCTTCGCCATATGAATAAGTGTCTAATCTACTTTATCTCTCCCGTGGATAAGTATACAATTTGTGTCCAAGATCATTGGAATTTTTAATAATAAACAATCCATGTCATATAAATATATTTCTATACTTTTTATGATAATTTAAACACTTATAAGTCAGCAAGGCAAGAATATGGAAACAATTGCGAAGTGAAATACACTTTAAAATGCGGTGGCAAGATAAATTCAAAATGCAAACACTATATACAGAGTAATAAGCCCCCTCCCAAAACGAAAAAAAAACAAATCCCATGAATTCCTTATTTCAATGAAAATAGAGACGTTATACTTTACACTTAAAAATTCAGTTTGGGTATGATTCACTTTCATGTATTTGCTACTTATAAAGGAATATGACGCTATTTTTGCTTTCGTCTGCCGTAGATATATGCGAAAATGGGGCCAGGTTCCACCAGGGAATTTTCTGGAAAGAAAAGTCTGAAAATATGGCTCTAAATGAGGATCTCAAAAATATCAGAAAACTGCATATTCATTAGTACCTCAAATGCTCAAAATTGGGCACTCCTGCAGTATGTAAACCAAGATGGCGGACACCGGAACATAGTATGTGTACCAGGTTAGGGTTAGGCCATAATTTTATTCCAATTTTCCTTATTTCAGTTCTATTATAAGTTCGGGGGCTAGCCAAGAATACAATTTTTGATTTTCATGCCGTTGAAAATGTGAAAAAAAAGTCCGTAAAATTCTAACTACGAAAATTGGTGGTTGAATTTCAAGATTTAATGAATGCCAAAAAATTTTATAGAAACTTAAAAAGCCTTGAATAAGACATTGTAAAAATAAAAAAATAAAAGCCTTTATATGGTGCTGTACATATAAATCCTAAAGACATTCCTGACAACACAGGATATGAGAATAAACGTAGAGGCAAGAATATGCATGAAATGACAAAGTAACAGGACAGGACTGCTAGAACTTACTGCAGAACACTGATTCTTAAATGGTGGGCATGCCTCGTAGACAATATTCTGAGGATGCGTTAAGCTAATTAAAAATATAAAATGATCTTGCATTCCATCCATGTTATTTTCATCATGTTTTATGAATAAAACATACTTCCTTCCACCTTACTATCTGTTATTTGTAGATTTGTTAACTACGGTAGTTAATTTAGAGATGGGTTGCAAGACAGGATCAATTCTAAAAAGGACGTGGCTTAAAAAGTTTGAGAACCACTGACTCAGAAAGAAAGTCCAAAAGGATTGCGAAAATGTCAGGAATTGATTATGATACAAGTATATCCAAGCAAGAAATAAAGTAGTGACCAGACTATATATATCATATTTCAAGGATGATAAGACAGTCAATGAATTGCTCAGATTGAAATTTTATCCTACATTAGGCGCATTAGAGATAAGATGCAACCTGTACTTGTTTTGACCATGGGCCAGGGCTACTCAACTGGCAGACCGAAATCGGACCTTACAGTATTTGATTCGGGCCGCACCTAATTCTTTATTTCTGATCATAAGCCCCACTTCATTTTATAAAATGACTTTTATTGTTTTGAATATATATGAAAAGAACTATAACGCCATAAAGAGCAATTTTGATTAGCTAATAATCATTAGTCGACCGAGGAAGTGCGCGTTCAAGGATGCCGAAATATAATTTCTGGAAAAAACGGACCCAAATAATTTTAAAGTTTTGTATGCGGATCTTGGGTAAAAATAGTTGAGTAGCCCTGCTATAGGCAATAAAGCACTACCTGATCCATACATTTGGCACATCAGCTTATGATCGATCGATGGCGTGTGATCGATTTTTGAAAAAAAGGACCGATAAACACAGTATGTTTCTTACATAAACATGAAGTCAAAATCTCCAAAAAAATTGGTCAGTCTGGAGTCGCTTTTTAAATGTCTCAGGATTGGAGAAAAAATTTTCGGCTCCACAGGCCTGAATAAGACACTTGAAAAGGAAAAAATATCTTCTTTATAGTATACATGAATTGTTTGAACATAATGGGATTTGGAATCTACCACTCAAAATAACATTATGAATACAACTGGATGATAAACAAGAGGGCCCAAGTCTCCAGAAGCGGGCCACATGAGCCATAAAAGGGGGATCACTGCTTCAGAGCACTGGAATTTTAAAATAGATAAGATGGAATAGGTATAATCAGGTAAAAAACATTTTATCACAACCCCACATCGAGAATTTAGTAAAGCAATACGACACTCGATACATAAAAGAAATATTAATAAAGTTAAATTTACTCTTTTTGATAGTACGTAATAATTTCAACAACTCTGCAATATATATGATATAAGTTTAAAAATTTTGCACATTTAAATGAATCTCAATATTTATATAAAAAAAATCAGTAACTTTGCTACATTTTTACAGACAAGTCTTGTGTATTTGCTACATATAAACAAAAATTGTTTCGCTTTCTGTTGCTTATAATTAAATATGGGAATACCATGTATCATAAAAAAACTGCATTTCAGAGAAGAGGCGATTAAAATTGCTACGTTTCAACAAAGAAGCCATGCGTATAGAAATAAATTTGCCGCAGGAAAATACGAATGATGCCCGAAAATTTCAAAAGATATCCATAAAACGTTGATATTCATTCAACACGATTGAGTTGAAAAAAAGGCTTAATTGATGTTAGGGTTAGATTTTTTCACATAACTGCATTTTTAGAATACACACAGTCAGAACTGTTACTCTTTTAAGGCAAGCCTTGCTTATTTGCTAACAAAGAAAAAAATTGTTTTTGGTGTGCCGTTCTAATGGTTAAATATGAGATAAACTGCATTTTGAATTCAAAAGATATTACTTATTTGCTATTTAGAAATAAATTTGCCTGAAAATAAAAACAACCCTTGGAAAACAAGAAACAGGTCTGGGAAATATGACATATAAATAATCAATTTAAAGAGCTTTTTAATCGAGGCTAGGGTGGGTATTTGTCTGAGTATAGAAGAATGGTGAAATACCAGGATAACTGCTTTTTTATGAAGCGCATTGTCCAAATTGCCACGTTTTGACACACGAGTTTAGTAAAAAATAGTATATTTGCTTTTCATTGCCGTTATTGTGAATAATTTCTCCCAGAAAATTCTGAAATTCTGCATATTTACATCCCACATATTTTCAACATGTTTTCGAATAAAACATACTTTCGCTTTACTATCTGTTATTTAAAGATTATTGTGGGCCGGTATTTTTGAGGTGGGGTGCGAGACTTGGCAAATTCCAAAAAAATGGGGGGTTAAAAAGTTTGAGAACCACTGTACTAGAAATTAAGTTTAAATTGGATTTTTTCTGTGTAGATTTTCTTCATATAAAAATAATTTGTTGTAGCTTCCTATTGCTCATAGTTGAACATGAAAGAAAGAATAGGTGTCAGGAAAACTGTCGAAAGTATTTGCTACAAATAATATTATTTTGTTTTCATTTGTTGTAAATGAATGAAAAATGTCCTCCCAGTAAATTGTGAAACCAGTCTGAAAAATATGACATTATGCCTAGAATGAGTTAAAAAAAAGCTTCCTCATGTAAGTAATAGGATGGTTTTTGTCTGACTATGAGTAAAACTGTATTTTCAGAAGTCAGATGGTCAAAATTGCTGTCTTAGTACAGGGGGTGTGCAACCTTTAATACAGGGGGGCCAAATAGAAATAACTGGATGAAGACGCAGGCCGCACCTTAATCTAACATAGCCTATCTAGTAGTTGGTTATTGACCTAGTGGCATGCGTTGTTTGCTAGCTAGCTGTTTAAGAATTGTAAAGTCATGGGCATAGATAATAAACTGGACTATGGCAACACAAAGGGAATTACTGGCCTGTACCAAAATAAATTAAAAATCGTTACATTTGCACATTATTCAAAATTGGCACTTCTTCGCGGGCCGCACAATTTTTTCTTGAGGACCACATTTGGCCCATGGGCCTGTCTTAGTACACAAGTCTTGTGGATATATATGAAAAATGATTCCAAAAAATTCTGGAGTAATACAGCTAATAAAGCCTTTTAATGGTTGTCAGGATTGAATTTTGTCTTGGTGGGACTGAGGAAAAAATTAAAATAACTGCATTTTTAGAACACAGATGGGTGAAATTGCTAAATTTTTACAGGCAAGAGTGCATTTGCTACATGTAAAGATATACAGTACTACAATTTACTCCCTTTCGTTAGATCAGTGGTTCACCAACGGTGTGGCGCACCTCACAAGGTGAGCGTAGAAAAATTTTTGTGGGTGGGGGGGGGGGGGTATTTGAAAAAAAAAGAATATTTGTTAGATTTTATCTTACCCACCTTATTTTGAATATTTTTACGATTCCATCAACAAATTTTCAACCTGTTTTTTGAATAAAACATACTTTTGCCTTACTATCTGTTATTTGTAGCTTATTGTTAGCTAATTATTTTTGAGGTCGGGCGCGAGACTTGACAAATTCTAAAAAGTGGGCGCGGCCTAAAAGTTTTAGGAGAACCACTGGCATAGGTAACACAATGAAAAAATAGGTGTCAGACTGCATCTAACGAAAGTCGAAGTCTTTTAGGGAAATTGACTTTCAAGTGAACTATTCTTAGATAATGAGATTGAATGGTGTGTTCAAGGTAATGGTCGAAATACAAACTTTCGGGAAATGAAATATTTGTCAGATAATGTTCTAGTTAATCTCAAATTTTACTGTGAAATAGGATTTCAGGGTATGACTAATGGCCAGTGTTCACTATTCGAGCATTATTTTGCCAAAACTGCGAGGCACTTTCGCAGGTAAATTTAGAGACTAAGAAATCATCATTTTTCATTTTTGGAGCGAAAATTTATAGAGTTGACAAATTAACTGTGTGCAAGTAATTTTAAACCAGCATAAGCAATGTAGTGCAGACATGGAAGATGAAGCTATCTGAGATTTTGCATTACCAGCGAAATTCATGTTTATAGTATGATGTTTTATACAAGCACTCCAATTATCGATTCTTCCACAAAAACACAAATATGACTTGTGCAACAAAAAACATTCTGGATATTGAAAATTGAAATGAATCGCAAGATAGAATTCTGAAATACCATACTTCATATCATGGGTGGGCAATTACTTTTCTAAATGGGCCAGTTAAAGATAATAGACTTGGTTACTGGGCCAGAGGATCAAGACCGGATATGGAACTATGAATAGAAAACAGTTTATTTGCCAACAACTAGCGTCGATAACCAATCGCCTACCTGCTTGTTTCACTGATTAATGCAATTGGTGTTTGTTGCAGGAGAAATTTACATTCATAAAAACTATGGTCGTAATCTCAGCAGGCACAAGTGGGCCTGATGCAGTTCGTGGACCGTAATTTGTCCCCCCCTGCTTTATTTATGTCACTTGCAACATTCAATTATTAAAATAAAATGGAAGGGGTGGCGTGGCCTATGCCTAGTCTATGTCAGCACTGCCGGTCACCATATCCCGCTTTCAAAAACCGTGCAATGCCATACCGAAAAGATTTCGATATATTTGAAATACAGCTCTTTGCATATTCACGGCTGAAAGTGCTTGCTCAGTTTTAGTATAATATGCCATGAACAACTTAGTGAGATTTGTTCAGCTTCCTGATTTATTTGGAAATTTTTGGGAAAAAGTTTGAGGTGGTTTTTACAAAGTCTTTAAATGAGCCACCGATACGTAATACCTTTACAATTTCAATTTTGTCACAAAGTCAGTTCTTGATATATCTAAACCAGGTTTGTTGTTTTTTAATCAGTAATTGTTTAAGTATTTTCACTTCATTTAATATATCTGTGTGGGCCAAAACAATATATAGTATCAATAAATTCCCTTTGCAATTAAAAAAAAATGGACACCCTATATATTTGGTGTTTATATTTGTGGAAACGATTTAATCTATTTTTTTATACTCTGGGGAGGTAGTGGGCACGGGGTTATAACTTATAACCCTGAATGTTTAAAATTTAGCAAGGCAAGTGTTCCTTCATTCTTCTTTATAATATCCGAGCTTAGCGAGCGACATTTCTCGTCGAAGTCTGTTAATCTCCCAGTAAATCTGATCCTCTGGAATAAAAATGAATGGAAAGGGTCAAGGGTCAAACATGAGAAAACGAGAAATAAAATAAAAATTGTTGGGATGAATAGCCGAAGTAGTCCTATTGAATACAGTTTAAGACACAGTACCAATCAACACCACCTTAATTCGTCAGTCGAATAGACACCAGGGCTCTTTACAATGGACTATTATTGCTGTTTTGAGAATAATGTCAACGCCAGCTCCCAGCTCCGTGAAAATCAAATTTTGGGAAAAAAACTTATGCTTTAATCTGTGGGGAATAGTTATGTAGGAAAGGATTGCTGAAATCCTCACCGCTGTAGGGTGGTTCACGTATCCGCTGGTCGGTTACGGCTTCCTCCACCACAAGTCCATACATCTGAAACCCATAACTGGCTAAATAATCCCAAACCCAGCATGGACTGGTAACCGAACAAGAGGTCTTGGTTTGCCACATGAGTAAACCGTTTTTCAGGTTTCCCCTCCCCCAAGATAAATATGTAAATCCTAAACTAATTGTTGGATATTATACTATTCGGATACAGACTTTTCGATAAATAAATTTTGGGCGCTCCAGAAGTATGTGTGTACCAATATGGAGGTAACTAATTTTGTTCGCCTACTTTACATCAAGTTGTGTAAAGTGACTGAAACCTATAAGCAGGGGTATATTCAATTGGCTAACACAGCCAGTCCCCAAACTCGTAATAGAACTAAAATAAGGAAAATAGAAATAAAATTATGGCCTAACCTGGTACATATACTACGGGAGTACCAAATTTGAATCATGAATAGTAGTGACTATGGGTTATTCAACTCTGTTTTGGACATAACAAACATAAAATGGGTCAAAAACTCAATAAAACAAAATTTAGCTTGAATGATTTCATGTCTACTTAAAGGCAATAGACTAAAAAAAGCATCAGATATATAAGGGCCGAACTTAACACATACACTATATCTATGTTTTATGCATGGCCGTGCATACAAATAGAAAATGTTAATTTATCATAAAAACTAATTCAGGAAATGACACAGACTTGCACGATGTGGTACTACGCTCATGTACTGTTAAATCACAATCAATACATTATGACCTAACAAAGACGCGAAAATCTTAAATTTAGTAGAAACGTTTAAATGACTGACCTATTTTATAATCGAATTTTTTGGCTAGTCAAATAAATCGAATATTTGAATACATTTAAAATTTGTTAAATATGATATACAGGGTGTCCATGAAGTCCCTTTACAATTTCAATTTTGTTATGAAGTCAGTTCTCAATATATCTTAACCAAGTTTGTTGTTTTTTAATCAGTAATTGTTTGAGTATTTTTATTTCATTCAATACATCTGTGGGAGCCCAACAATTTTAAAAAATTTCAAGACTTTATCATTGACAACCTATAAATGTTAATTCTTGAATATAGGAATAATAATTTCCATTCGTAAAACTGACATTTCAACCTCAGCACAGTTCAAATCGAAGATGTCCAAAATAATTGATTATTCAAATAGTCTCAGAAACCAGTTATGTCTGATATATCAAATCCTAGGCTTTAGAAATAACTTTAAATATTGATTGAAAATTCATCCTTTTGAGTCGTTGAAATCTGATTTCTAAAGCAATCCACCCTATTAAACCAGTTATTTCTAAAGTTGATTGACGGGGGCCAAAATTAGAAGCGGAAGGATATTCATGGGCAGGGAGAAGGGCCGATACCAGTACGTGTATGTAATTAAGATACCAATACAGTTGAATTGTTACGAATATATACACATTTAAACTGTGATAGTGACATGAGTGTAACAATTTGCGGTATCCAGAACGCAAAAAGAAAAAACAAGAAGCGGTAAACTGTTTCACTCAAGTGCAACGCACCATATTGAATCATTATGCCAATCATAATTGGCCCCCAATCCCCAAAAAAAATTTGGCCCCCAATCTCAAAAAAAAATTAAATCACTCACTTGAATGTTTAACTAAACCTTTCTTTATGTAACTTATGTAGGCAAGGAAGTCACAGACGCTGGCAATCTAGAAAAATAAAATTTGGTCATTTTGAAGTCCTCAATATTGTTTTGCCAAATCAATGATATTTATCACGATTTTTAGAAAAATGAACTGGCAGGACAGCTACAGTGATAGCTACGAAATTTGGACCTTATGTTACCTTACTTTTTACAAGAATGAAAAAAAACTGACTAAAATATTCATTTTGACATTTCACCTTTGACATTTGAACCGCGAGATGGTTGACTTTAGATATTGGGGTTAATGCCCATTTTCTTCTCAATCCTCACCACCAAAATTTTGTTAGCAAATTATTTCGCATTAACTATAATTATTCTATCAATATTCAAAATCATAGGTGTGCAACATTTCTCGTCGGTGGGCCATAAAAGTCACTTCTAGCTGGATCGCACAAAACATTTAGTTTTTCTTCACACACAGCGAATTGAAAAGCTCTCACGATGCTAAATTTTATTCATTTATAATTCCAGTGGCATACTTGAAATCAGTGTTAACTCTAAGCAAATTATGAGTGCGAAAGTGCTTCGCAGTCCAAAAAAAAAGTGCGAAAGTGCTTTTGCCGATTTTAACAAGTTAGGTGCCCTAGCCTTTCATATAACCCATTTAAAACGGCATAGATACTCGAAAAAGCGCTCCTCCGGTTAATATTATGATTCAAAGAGAAGCCTTTTCGTTAACCGAGTTCCCTTCAAGCGAATTCATGTTTAATTAAAACAAGCGAATTCATCGGCAACGAAATGACATCTGCTAACACCTGCCGCGGACAAAACTTTCATGCAATGTATCACGGTGTCAGTTGCTTACTCGCGTAAACAGCAAAGACTTTCACATTTGTTACTCCTTCCATCTAACAGACACGAGGCCGGCTGGAAACCATATTAGTTACAGGTGGATCGTTTGTACAAATCCGGTGCAAAAATACCCCCCCCCCCCCCCCCCCAAATATAAATAGCAATCAACTAATTAGGGTTAGGTGCGCTGGAAATTCAACTTTTCGATTCATCCCTAAACCTAATCTGATAATTATTAATTTGTGATTTTGAACCACTTTGAAAGTCGCCACCCGCTGTTTTAAAAGATAGGTTAACCTACCTTCCTCCGAAATATTATGCAGGATACTCCCCTGTTTTAGGAGATAGGTTGACCTACTTTCCTTTCAAAACTTTTTTCTCCGAAATATTACACAAGATCACTTTGAAAATCCTCCCGTTTCGTGAGCTAGCGTGACCTAATTTCTCATTTACATTTATATTATACTATTTCAGAGCTTACCCAAAGACAAGTAATTTTTAAATGTCGACATGCCTTGGTTTGTGTGCGAGTTAGTTTAAATCGGGCAGAAAACATCATATATTGGCAAAATGTTTAGTAATGTCATGTACTTTCAGCATTCATAAATAGCACTCTTTGTAATGCTGCTGACCTAGTATCAAATATTCGCATCACAACGCCACTTGCGAGGTTTTCCATATATTTCAATTACACTAATAGGAACAATGACATCAAAGAGTTTACTTTGCGAAGGTACACTAAATATAACGAGGGTGATTCTTGAGAAAAAACATGAATATAAAAATAAACGAAATGATATGATAATGGATCCCAAATAATTTTGAGAGTGTCTCGAAATACCAATCCATTTGATAATAATTTTTATTCGACCACATGAACGCTGATATCCTGAAAATTAATGTTGAAAGAGAATTACGCATTCTCAGATATCGGACATCCAGTCGCGATATTCAATCGTTCATATGCACAAATCTCACATTAATAGTAATTGCTACCCAAGTTTGTAAAGTTTAGAAACCAACAAACAGAAAATAACTAACCTAAAACACAATTAAAATTCAGTCGGCAATAAATTTGTCGCCAAGACGATGCCATACAAAACAAAAAAGATTTGGTCGCGAGAGTTACGTGAGATGACTGCCGTTGTTTTTTAAGCAGAATGTAAAAAATTTATAATTAATAACGGGAGTTACGACGCCTTTACACATCGTGTGTATTAAACTTCCCTGGTAGGTACTTTGGTAAGTACTATTATTATTGTACCTATACACCTGTTGAAGTATTTCGGACAATTTCGAATTTAAAATAAATGAAAACCAGACATATATATAATAAGGAGGCGAAAGTAAAATGAACATTTATTGAAAAGTTATTATTTAAGAAAGACAACATGATCGTACAATTCGCCAAAACCTCGATGTTCGCAAGTGAGATGATAAATGAATACTTCCCTGTATTCGATCAATCAATTAACTTTAGCGTATCGTTGTTCTGCCAACAAACAGCCGGGTGCAAAATATTTCCGTCCTGTGATATGCTCACAAATATTCTCAATATTAATATCATACCCTCGCGTATGTACTTTCTATTAGCTCTTTAGTGATCCCTTCCATCCTTGGCCAAGTCATGTTTCGAATATGTGAACATTTCATTCGACCATACATGGCCGGCGGGATGTTGAAATTGTAAACAAGAGAGAGAGGTAAAATCAATCGCGAATTTCGTATATACGGCTCGTTTACGAATTGTTGCGCCTGTTATCGTCGAAAATGATTACATTTGTTGTATTTTGAGGCATTTAAGCAGTAATAATTAGGGCATGACATCATCAAAATCGTCAAGTGAGATCTTGAAATTGCAAATTCCGTAAATAAAATTGGCGAATTATTCGGTAACGAATTCAGCTTTAATGACCGTCGGGGTATTGTTTTTGTTGAAAATTATTATTAATTGAGAGCGCCAAAAACATACAGTCCATACCGATGCGACTGCAATTTATATGGTCGCAATTGGTGTGGCGCGTTTATTAATAGTGTAAATAAATTAAACGAATATCAATTATAACCAGCTGTCAGCGCGTTTATTTTCTGTGGGCAGGAATCGTAAAATACCATCTTGAGACAAATTCACTTCTATTATAAAATCTTAATTTTCAGTTATTATGGTTATACAAATAACGTGTGGCAACTTTTTAATTTATCGTCGATCAAAAAACCGCCCCACACTCGTCCAAACGTGTGTCGAGCTTGAACGACAGGAACAGATTCATCGACGACCTTAATTAGGGAAAATATGTATTTTATTGGGAATGCAAAATATTAGTAACAAAACGCATTTTTTGTGATATAACTTTGTATTTTCGGAAACGGGTTGCCGTGAAAGGTAAAATTAGATCTAAATTAATTGCAAAAATGTTTTATTTTAAATGTAACAAAACACATTTTTCGAGATACAACTGTATTTTCGGGATACCGGGTGTCATGGAGAGTAAAATGTGATCTGAATTCACCGTAAATAATGTTTCATTCCAAATGTATTATAACGCATTTTTTTGAGATATAACTTTGTATTTTCGAAAACGGGGCGTCACGAAAAATATTAATTTAATGTTTTATCTATCGTCTAACTAACGTCTGGAACACATCATTTTCGGGGAGAACTCTAGCCCGCGAAACGTCATTTAATTTAAAATAGAGAATGTTTCACGCATTTCAAAACGGAAAATCACCAGTAAGTGGACAGGGATTCAACCCTCCGGATTCAGTATTCTATATCCCCCGTGTCAGAACTTTCTGAAGAATGGAACAAAGAACCCGTCAAACCGCCGCGGAAGAAGGGGAGTATTTTTTTGCACTAATAATTAGGGCGTGACAATATCAAAATCGTCAAGAAAATGGTGAATTTGCAAATTCCATAAATAAAATTATGAATTGCTCGGTAACATTTTAGCTATAATTATCGCCGGGGTATTGTTTTGTTGAAAACACGTTGAAACTTGAGGGAATTAGTTACAATTAGCGCCTCACCTCTATTAGGCACTCGAGCACTCGAAAAAAAAGCACTCGAGCCCAATCTTTTTAGCAATAAGTCGCATACGTGAAATATCCTGTAAAAGAAGTGCTGTTCATTAACGTCATCTCGTCTTATGACCACGCAGAAATGCCTTTATAGCCGAATTATTCAATCACTATTTCAAATCAACATTCAGGATTGGCACAATTTCAGATTTGCGAAGTTTATCACCATAGAAATACATGAGAAAGTTAATTATCGTCTTAATAAATATCTGCATCACGGTATGGACAATAATATTACCATTCGCATAAAATTGGGACGGTAAATTTACAAATCTTGATAGGTAATATTAAAGCCAGCGCAAATGTTAATTTGAGTCCTCAATGTCTTCAACAGCTGTTGCCGATGTGAACGAACGGGTAAACCCGAAATATAAAACTTCGATGTCCGCCGACCCACAAGAATTCATATTTGTAAAAAAAAGAGGGCGGGAATATAGATTACCCAAAACCTGGATATCGCCGCCAAAACGATCGGTGACAAGAACAATTAGCGATTACAACGGAATTAACCAGTAAAAAGGCTTTGTTGCCGATTTTTTAATGTTTCCACCACGTTTATTCGGTACTCCTTGAAAATATTCGATTTAAAAAAATATTGAATTTTGCCCACCCCTCCTCGCATATCAATGAGAAATAGTTGTGTAAATATCGCAAAAATCCGGAAAATGCCACGTCCTTTCAACATTGTGATTACAATAAAATGGCATTTAATGGTATTTTGTGAATTTGTTGATTTTGCAAATCTGTGACATGCTGCTAAAAGTTTCGTCTGATTTGAAAATCGTGCAGTTTGGTCACAATTCATCCAAAGTGACTATAACACGTTACTAACACTTTTTATAGTCATTTTGAATTCATCGATATCATTGATAGTCACATGACCACTCTCGTTCAAAGAAACGCCCCGTGAGCGTTTTTTGCAGGAGAAGCGGAATCCGTGTGCTTGTATAATAATCATATTAAAAAACAAGAATTTTGCCGTTAATGCAAAAGCTTTATCTCCTATGTCTGCATCTCATAGGTTAGAATTCCGGTAAATATCGTTATGATATGCAGAATTGAGTTACAAAAGTACCAGTATGTTACTTATTTGTCAACTTAATACTCGAAAATATTTGTTAACTTTGAATTTTTATTCCATTCAAAATCGGAAAAAAGTGCTATTTCTCTTCAAAATCGGAAAAAAGTGCTATTTCGCAGTCCCTAAAAAAAGTTGCGAAAGTGTTTCGCAATTTTCGCAAAAAAGTGCGCTAATAGTGAACACTGCTTGAAATTTCAAGTTTTTGCATAATTTGTTAACATCAGCTTTGACATAGGTTGGGATTTTAAAGCGATCCAAAAGTATATGTACCAATCGGGAGATAACTAATTTTGTTCGCCTGTTTTACATCAAATTGTGTAAAGAGACTGAAACCTATGGGTAGGGGATATATTCACTTGACTAACACAGACAGTCCATGAACTCGTAATAGAACTAAAATAAGGAAAATCAGAATGAAATTATGGCGATGGGGAAATATCCGAGTGTGACAACGGCCACGCTGTATGGCCCATTGGCCTGTTGCACACCTCTGTTCTACATTGTTTCTGAAATCAAGAAATCACAAAGCAACTCACCCTGGTTCTGCATGATTGTGAGATAGGGAACCACATTTCACTGTTGCCACATTTTATCCTGTGTTTGCAACAAATTACTGCACCAGATAACGCGCACTTTCTAGAAAAAAAAAAGGAAATTTGTTTTTATAATTTTTTATGGGTGCAACGACCAAACGTATAAAGCAGGGGTCACCAAACTACGGCCCGCGGGCCGGATCCGGCCCGCGACGTCATTTTATCCGGCCCGCGGCGTCATTTTATCCGGTCCGCAATAACACGCAAAAATGGCTAAATTTTTTTCCAAGGAAGATTTTCACGAGCATGGTCGTCCTTGTTTATTTCGTAACATTGGCCAATCGGCAAGATGCAGAAAAGTGACGTAATAATAGGCCTTTCCGCATCCGCTCAGACACTTTTGTCACCCTGACAGATTTTCAGTCGTGGTTGTAAACAAAACTTCGTTTTTGCGACTTTGAATGCTACCAGTACGTAACGTTTTCTGCGATACACTTGTACACTCGTGGCGCTTGCTTTCGACGAAACTGTTTGTTTTTCGTGCTAAAATAAACGTCGAATGTGCATTTTGTGCTAACAGTACTGTAATCCCTCGCGTACTTCTCCAATTTCAAAAGCCACACTAACTTTTGTACTGCTTTAATGCGGATATTCATGTAGGTATGTTACAAAAAAATGGAAGTTCATCTGATTTAAATAAAAACTGCTCCAGTGGAAAGATCTGAGTAAAAATAGAAAACAATACCAAGTTTGGATTAAACGGTCAAGAAATAACGGAGATGTCGGAATTTTAGTACCGCCCGACAGCCAATTTTTTCCATAATGATTGTATTACTTTTTTGATAAGAACTGTACTAAATATGGAAAAATAACACATATCAATCACTAATCTTTCGATGTGCGTTACATCTATGGTATATTGAGATAATTTCAGGATTTTATTCTGGCAACGGTCATTGACACCGCCGAAAGATCGTCGCAAATAAACGCTGGAGTTGTGCATGATAGTTTGACAGTGGTTCATTGTGGGTAATAATTAACGATGTTCTGATTGTACGAACTTCATAAAAATTGGTAAGTATCAAGTTAGACAAGAAATACACACGTCCATATAAATTTTATTGGTGTCCAGGCATAGACAATATCAATAATTTGCACTACGTATAACTGGAGCGTAATTTTTAAAAGCGTCGAATGTTGGGAAATTTATGCGCTAATGAAAAAATTCAAATACCAGATAATAGTTGTTTATTTTATCTAAATTATGTCAAAATTTCATGGAATTCCAAGCTACAGCATGCAGTCGTTTTTATGAGCGGTATTTCAACACGGCGTAACGGTACTTAGCAGACGTGATGCGTACAATTTTTGCCGCGGATTTTGTAACATTTCTAATTCATGACAGCAACGTTTTGATAACAGCTAAACTCAGGATAGTTGTCTAGATATAGAAATCTTGTTAATTTTTTTTCCTAGGATGTTCTCGATCTATATTCTGCGATATTCCCAACATTTGTGAATTTATTGTATTGCATTGACAAAAATATTCATCCGGCCCGTTTCAACACAATTTGAGTCATACCCGGCCCGCGGTCAAAAAAGTTTGGTGACCCCTGGTATAAAGCAAAGGTTGCAAGGTTTTTGATTCAGGGGCCACAAATTCTGCCAACCTAGGAATACAGAACGCACAATTGAATGATAGAAAACTCACATGGACGAGAAACTACACAAAAATATGGAATATCCAGGGCGCTTTCGCAATTTTTCCCAACTCCGAGGAACTTCGCACTCATAATTTCCTAAAGTGGACACTACAGAACACACAATTGAATAATAAAAAATTCACAAGGGGGAGCAATTTCACAAGAATACAGAATGTAACTGAATAAGATATGCATTTTTCAACTTCTTTTTTAGACTAATAATTTTGAACGATGACAATAAACTAGAAATACAGAACATAAAATTTTCATTTTTTTAATAAATTTGAACAATTTAAACAAATATTCCAAACTTACTGTATGGCTGGCTTTGAAATCGGCTCTATCATCAAAGTATTATTGTGAACATTGGATAAAACTTTATCGGCGAGAGAAGATTGAGAAAACGTTAAACAAGGTTTTATGTCTTCTGCTTCTATCCTTTGGATCAATTGTGGCATCATAGGTGCCATTGTCTCATATTCTGTTGTGTCATAATGAGGTTCATCAATTTGTGAATTAGGATTTGTCACAGAGGTGATTTCTGATTGGTTGATTTTGGTATGATTGACAGCTGTGGGCGAAGCTCCAGAGTCTATATTTTGATCGATGCTTCCTGATTGGTTGGATTGAACATGATTGACAGCTGTGGGCGGGGCAAATGACGATACTTGCAACCAGCTATTCAGATGGGACATCAAGACAGAGTCAACCTAAGAAAAAATATAAAAATTATGAGAAACTACTTTTTTTAGTATAATATTTCTAAAATATGATTTTGAATGTGAAATTTTGACTTCGTATCTAGAAGGGTAGGGTGGTTCATGTAATCGCTGGTCGGTTACGGCTTTCTCCACCATCAAGTCCATGCTTCCGAAAACAGATAACTGGCTAACTAATTCCATACCCGACATGTACTGGTAACTAGACGAGAGGTCATTTTTTGCCATAAAATTAAGCCGTCTTATCATCTCTCCCCCAAAGAGATATTATTTTCAAACTGATTTCCAGAAATAAGCTAAAATATGGAAATAGGATTATCCGCATCTAGAATAAAAGCCACCTTGTGAATGTAATTTTCTTGGGAATACAAAAGGAACTACGTTATCAGAGGAAACTCACTGCGCACATGGACGAAATAAATACGAATACTGCGCACATGGACGAAAAACTAGTATAACCATATATCGTTTCGTCCTATTAATTTCTGAAACTAATCAAGATCTGAAAATAATTTTATTGTCAGAAACTCAAATCACAGACCTCTTTTCCCATTTTAACGATCTTCTGATCTTTCTTATCCTCTGTTGGGGTCGGAGGCTTCATGTCGGCGTCGCTACGGTTTCTACGATGTTTACGAAGTGGCGAACCTGTGATAACGGAATGACACTTTAGTTAGAATGCGGGGCCGTAGCCACAAATTTTTTCTGGTTTTTTTTTTGCACCCATGGCCCCCTGTTTATCATTCCAGTGTTATTTCTAGTATTATTGTGATTGGTAGATTCCAAATCCCTTTATGTTCAGACAATTCATGCTCAAAAGAGTGAAAATACCCTGTGAAATAACCTTATCAAGCAATGAAACTAGGAACAAAGGTGGTTTCTTGTAAAGTGAAGAGTAAAATCATTTTTGCACGTAGCATTGCGGCCCCCTCTAATGCTCTGTGGTCTCTGGTGAGAACCCCATGAAGTGAGAAGACATCTTGTTTATTTAACAGAATTCTATGTCGTAGGATCAATAAACAAAACTTTTGTGCCTACAACTACCAGGAAGGCAATGTTAAATAAAGTTGCGGCCCGCGTTTTTACCCAGTTATTTGTATCTGGCCCATCTGTATTAAAGGTTGCACACCCCTGGCTTAGACATTCAAAACATTCTCAAAATTATTCCAACATGATAATTGAAAAAAATTTGAATAATCAGTTTGAATCATTTCTAGAATTTCCTAATTTACCCTCAAAATAAAAAATTAGTTCAATTATTCAAATTTTGAAATCAATCAAGGCGTCTTGTTTAGTATCCCTAACCTATTGCAAACCACATTAAGGGCAAACAACATGCATTTCTCCAACCTATGTAACCAATTCCCAGCGGATTAGGCCTGCACTAATTAAACCAATGCTGTGGTGACATAAATGGGATTATTAGTATTAGGTGTACGGAGTATAATTAAAATGGCTTGGTGGCATAATTAATAAACAATGCCTATGCCTTTGTGCTTGTGGATTCAAAGCGCATATAGCAAGGATGCTGTAGTTAGAAAGAAGATTACTGGCTGTTCAGTTTAACAGTATTATTACATTAAACGCCATGTGTATGATTAGCAAATGAATGAATGTTCATCAAACCTCACAAATCAATCCAAAATTTCAGTAGATTTCATCAGTTTTACGAATCTGATTTTATTATGGGAACACCTTTTACGGAATATGGGAACACTTAATTCTGTCAAGCTTGCCCACCAATCTTTTCAGCAAACTCTGTGCTCAGCGGTAAGCTTCGCAACTTACATAACAATATATTTGAGCAATGCTCTTGGTATTTTAATCTTAATGAAACTGTAAGTTCAGCAATGACGTCGTACTTCCATCATCTAGGTGTTTATTATCGTCTGAATAAGATAACCTCAGGCAGTTTTACGAGTTTCTATTGTTACATACAAGGTTATTATTGAGTCATAGTAGGTCAAATAACATCATAATAGCAGTTAAATTCGAACTCACTTTAATAAGCGAGGAAGGTTATACCAAAACAAAGACAATACCGAATACATTCTAAAATGTACTTTTATTAAATAATGATGGATTTGCCATATTCAACAGAGAAACATAAACAACATAATATACGAAATAACATGAATATACTTGAATTAACCAGTTTACTATTCTGAGTATATTTTAAATTCTATTTAGGAATGTTTGCATATTGCAGAGGTTTCCAACCTTTTATGGCCCATAGCCTCCTTCCGGAGGGTTTTAGCACTCATGGCCCCCCTGTTTATCATTCCAGTGGTATTTAAAGTGTTATTATGATTGGTAGATTCCAAATTCCAATTGTGTTCAAACAATTCATGCTCAATAAAGGAAGAACACCCTGTGAAATAACCTTATCAAGCAATCGAGCTAGAAAAACGAAGAGTTTTCTTGTAAAAGGGAACAGAAAATCAGTTTTGCGCCTGGCATGGTGGCCCCCCTCAACTGCTCTATGGCACCCTTGGTGGGCCAATGACCCCTGATTGGGAACCGCTGGCATATTGGATATTTACATATATTTATTACATCCTAGCCAAGGTGATAGGAGTCTCAGATGGGTTATTCTCAAACCTTCCTCAATAAATTCATCATTAGCCTACCGTTTACAGTGAATCATGTTTTTGGATGGACGCATAATGGATATATACAGGGTGTCTGTAAAATCCCTTTGAAATTTTAAAAAGATATCGTCGGACTTTGCAATGAATTCCTTAAATTATATAATTTAAATTCGTCAATGTTCCCCAAAGATTCATAACATTGGTTACTCATTTTATCAGAAATTTAATAAGCCTGGAGAACTTTTAAAATCAGATGTCAAATGTACTAAATAACAAACTCTCAATCCAAAAAGATTCTGAAGTATTTCTTAAATCACACAAGTCGAAAATTAAATTTATAACTTACTTAAAAGGTCCTTTTTCTTTTTTATCAACTGCGGATGAGATTGTGGGTTCGGATTGCTCGGCGTTGAAGTCAGAACCAGAGATTTCAAAGCCGATACCTCAGTTCGGAGTGCTTCTATCTGAAATATGCAAAAATATTAGAACTCCTGTGCCCTATTTATTCTCTCAAAATCGTGGGCTTATGTTTTGCGATAGTTTAAATAATTGTGTTTCAAATCAAAATTTTAAAAAGGAATTATAGACATACAGGTGGGTTGAAAACAGGATTATAGTTATTACTTATCGATTTTAATCGATAAGTATGTTGATAGGTATTTGTCTGTTTGTCTGTTAGATGCACGCAATATCTCACGAAAGCGAGACTGAATCTGCTCCATATTTTGCCTGTGCATTCATCATATGTCGGACCAGAAGCCCATTGATTTTGGATGAATTATGTCGTATAATTAGCGAGTTATTAATTAATTAGTGATGGGACACAAGGTGTCACTATGGAGTGAGAGCGCTGATTTGGGGGATCCCCTAACTTTCGATCGAAGTCTTCGGTCTCTGAGCGATATTCTCGTTATATTCTGTGTTAACAACCCTGCTTTTGGCCCACCCTGCATATTTCTTTGTGTGAAATTATCATACTCCTAAATTTCATTGCGCGTACCCCTAGGGCAGGGCTACTCAACTATTTTTATCGAAGGTCCGCAAACAAAACTTCAAAATTATTTGGGTCCGGTTTTTCAGAAATGATATTTCGGCATCCTTAAACGAGCACTTCCTCGACCGACTAATGATTAGTAGCAAATTAAAATTGTTTATTATGGTGTCTTTTCGTATATATTCAAAACTATGAAAGTCATTTTATAATAGGAAATTCAAAAAGTGGGGCTAATTATTCAAAATAAATAATTAGGTGCGGTCCAAAACCAATACTCGAAAGGTCAGGATTCGGACCGCCAGTTGAGTAGCCCTGCCCTAGAGTATGTAATGCTAAACCCAAAGTAGTACCGGAAACACTTCATATATCAGTGACAAAGTCTTGCTCAGAGTGAAGGTTCGTAAATGCCACACGAAATGAAAATAATTCAAATCAGAAGTACCCATACCTCTCCTATTGCAGCATTGAGTCTCTTCTCAGCCACAAATTGCTTCATATTCGCATCGTGAACCATTTTATGCGCTTCCTCAAACAAACTAGCTGTCAGTTCTTCTAATTCCGCTTCGACTTTCGAGCGAACGCCGCTCAATTCTTTACATTTTTCATCCTTTACCTCTAATTCCTAAAGATAAAAAAATTGTTTAATTTTAACAAATTTTCAGGGTAAAAATGTGCGAAGGCAAAGACTTTAATCTTTTTTTGATTAACTATGCCTTTTGTCTAAAAACCAAGGGGGAACTTCTCTATAAAATGGTTCAGTCCTTTCCCAGTTATCGCACCCAACAAAATTATCCGGGTACGTTTTAAAATACCAAATCGGTTGCGGTTAACGTTGGGAATGATTTAGAATTCCAGCGCAATCTGCATTCATAATCATAACCCTAACTGAATAATGCTCGAATTCATACATTAGTGCCGTGTTTTTCAACCTTTTTCGAGCCAAGGCACACTTTTTTCAGTGAGAATATCCCGCGGCACACCACCAGCTGAAAATATGGGGAAAAGACCTAATATTCACAATATAAGTGTTATATTGTTAATATAAGATTTCTAACATTGAAGAAAGATGTTGAATAGGACATCCTGAATAGTAATCAAATAAAAACAAAAAGCAAATCACCACCTGATGCTGCCACCGTCTGATATAGAACAGTACTGCACTACATGATTACTCTGCCGGGCGCTACACCGCATAGACACACAATTTGGAGAATTTCCCACGGCACCCCTGACAATATTTTACGGCACACCGGAGTGCCGCGGCACCACGGTTGAAAAACACTGTATTAGTGAGTGGGTAACTGGCAAAGACTATCTGGTTCTGTTTGTATTTTTAATAAAAGTTGGACACAAAGTTCACATAAGATTATTTTTGCCAAGTTGCTGTTTGTTGGGTATACAATGACTTTTCCCCACCAAATAAAATGATATTCTATTACTTTCATTATAATTGTTTTACAAAAATAGAAGATCAGATGTTTCACCAAAATTTGGCCATCTTATTTTATTCCCAGGAACAGTTTTTTATAACATTCAATTCACAAATTCTTAGTCAGCTTATAGGTTTTTCATCAATTTGAAGAATTAAAGAAACTTAGATTCCCTGAAAATAAGACAGGGTTTTATTTCAATTTTATTTCGAAAAATACCCCAAGGGCTTATTTTTTTGGGGATGTCTTTTATTTTCATTTATCAAAAACCGGATAGAGAAATACGAGATTTCCAAATATACAAAATAGGAAAACCGATATCTATTTCTCTTTAAATAACACTTTTTTATTCGAAAAAACTGCGGAACATGGATTATTCAAAAGTGACCATATCATAATCTTCTGGAATGTCTTGCAAGTCACTAGATTCATCAATTCCAATGAAGATTTCATTTAACTGAATTTCTGGTTAATTTTTGCAAAACAGTTTCGAGCAATAAAGGTCTCACTAGGTTTTATTTCAAAGAAAGGGCTACTATTAAAATCAATTTTGAAATTCAGGTCTTATTTTCGGGGGAACACTGTAGACAAAACTAACCTTTTTAGCACTTTCAAGTTCTTGTTGCAGCATAACAATCGCTTTTTCTTTCAAATAATCCACAGAGTTTGATCGTGCTATGGACGACAAATCTTCATCATCGAGCACAATATCATCTGTTTCGTACATCCTTCCGGAAGTTTCTGAAGACAACATTACATCCGCGGACGGACTATCGGACGCAGTGTCATCAGTCAAGTTGTCAGGGTTAAAGCATGCTCATTGAAGCGTCACTGTTGTTATATGAACGATGCTCCATTGTAGCAACTGGTTGCGTATCCGTTTCAGTTGCAGCATCTTTATTCTGTATTTCGTTCAATGAAGCGTGTCCAGGTGTGTTGTTTAAGCAGTCACCAGTATCCTCCTTCGGCTTATCACCAATTCGCAACTCTTTAACATTGTTATTTATTGTTAAAACTTGTCCCTGTGTGCCCCCAACTATTGCATCCTGACCCTCAGACATTATTTCTGATTTGCTAGCATAATTATCTCACTGCTGACAGAACACAATTATTTTAGTTTCGTAACCGAAAATATTTGATAAAAACAAATAAAGACTGTAATGTTCTAGTTTAATAATAGTACACTAGAAATGGTGGCATTCTTTCATTACACACACAGTGACAGTTGACATAATGCCTGAATGCAGAGATCTGAAAGATAGGATTTTCATATTTCAGTATTTATACCCTTCAGCCCTTTTCTGGTACTTCTCTGAGCTACAGGAGTGGTGACTCCTCTACGGCCCATCTAATTGGGCCACATGGGCCGTGGCCCATAGCTTGATGGGTCGCGGCCCCCATCAGGAAAAATTATTATCTTAACAAAATTTTCAATTTTTACCAAATTGTCAATATTCGAACCAAAAAATATACTCGTGTAATATTACGTGTACTAGGTTAGGGTTAGGACAAAAAAAATTCAGAAAATTTTTACATTATAGTTCTATTATGAGTTCGGGGACTGTCTGTGTTAGCCAAGTGAATAGTCCTTTGCACAACTTGATGGGCTGCGCCCATAGCCTGATGGGCCGAGGCCCTATTCGATGGGCCGTGGCCCGGCCCATGAGCCGCAGAGGAGTCACTACTCCACTCTCTCTGAGAGTGCCGATGAGAAGATTTAATCAGATGTGGCAATGGCAGGTAATTCCTTGACGGATTAGCATATTATATCTAGGAACTAAAGGACCTACACAACTTGACATAGACCAGAGGTCAGCAAACTACGGCCGCGCGAGTACTATAATCCGGCCCGCAACGCTTCACTGAATTATAGTAACAAAAACAGCTGTTTTTGACGATTATATTCTTTGAGTAACAGAATTTATTGTGAAACATGTGTAGACTAAATTATAATATAATCTAACAAGTCTAAAATTCACCATTACTCGTTTAATGAGCCTATAACTTATTTAGACAAATGGCAACAGCGCAGAAATGTTGATGCAAAGCGCAAAGGGTTCATTTCAATGGCGCCGAAAATATTCAAATGAAACTTTTTGAGATGCACTGCAATGAGGAAATAAAATCTATATTTTATTCGAGAGATGTATCACTGCTTGATTATTATTATAAAAAGTATCATCCGTTCGTTTTTCAACTTTCTAGAAATATGTGCGGCCCACCAATGACTTGCAACCCCTAATTTTGGCCCGCGAGTGACAAAAGGTTGCCGACCCCTGACATAGACGATCGAAATAAATTAAACTTAACGACAATGTGCTTAATACTCAAGTCAGCAAGTTATTTAATGATTTAAATGTACCCGTAACTGGTATTTAATGATTAATATGTGAATCCTATCATACTTATTAAAATCTATAAATAATACAAAAACTACCGTAGGTAACTTAAGTTGCTGTCAGTCCACACGTTTCTTGACTACAAAACTACCGCAGCGTAAAATGCGGTTTCGTACCTTTTTTTGTTGATCGAATTAAAATTTGATTACCAGTAATGGTACCTAGTTCCCATCCAAATTGAGAGAGAGAGAGAGATTACCGGTAGTTCCCATGATTCAATTCCCAGAAAATGAACATTTGATTAATACACATAATACTTATCTACTCAGTCATATATGCACAAAAATAACCCACTGCCCCAATACATGAAAAAATATACGGTGCACCTGAACAAACATAAACGCGGTACCGGTACGGCAGGTACAAATACCGTACCGATATCGGTACACAGTTGAGCCCAATAAACAGCAAAGCGGAAAACGGCAGCACCTGGTACAACACCGTGGAGCTACTCGCACAGCAGCACGGTGGCTTTCGTGTGCGACCGAGCGAAAAGTTATGGATATCATGGCAGAATTGTAGGCGGTGCTAAATTCCCATACGCAATAATCAATCGAGTAAAAATAAAAGATATATTCGTTATTTCTGTGACTTAAAATAAAAAAAGCACGCAAGAAAAATAAAAGTTTTGAAGGGAATCATGAAACAACATCTTACAGATGTGAGTTAATATCCACAACAACACTGCATGAGTAAATATAAATTCCTTTAAATATCACAACCGAAATCGAACTTCATTACGGACTTTCATACGAACCAACGGAGCGTGACGGCTGCTGCCAGACACTGTTTTTACCTCACTCTTGGGGACGCGGCGGTTTCGCTTTTCATTCGCGAGTTTGAGCTGTTGCTTGAGGGCCAAGGTTGCACCTGGAGTGTACTGGATCAGGTGGAACTCGTAATATCTTTTTCGAAGGTATAAAATACGGTACCGTACTATATATACTATGCTGACTATATTAGATAGGATGTCCGCTACCAGCACTGAAGTCCGATACCTGCCATACAGTTTTTCAAGTTGTGTCAATGCCACTGCTTACTACCGCGTTTCCCCGAAAATAAAACCTTGTCCGAATTATGAAAATTATTGTAATATAAGCCCTTTAAAATGATAGTCCATACCTAAATTAGAAGAAATTGTAACTTGATGGCAAATTTGTGGAGCGAAATCACAGGCTGAAAGACGTCTGTTTGCTGTTGCTGACTTGACTACATAAGGTGAATATAAGTTGTAATCGGAAACCTCACAAAAATACAGTATGACAAACCTTTCAAATATAGCATTGGGCCAAAAGACTCCAATCATGAAATAACAAAACATGTTGATTCCAAACAATCATATATTATAGTATATATTTCGATACAAGGTGAAATGACACAAAGTTTCAAACACCGATATGACATTACTTTAACATATATAATGTTTTGTTGCCTTTTTGATTTTATATATTAGAATCTGAACCTATTATTATTTACATTAAAAACATGAACTATGACAATAGACAATACGTTTATTTCGTCGTGCCAGAAATCACAACACAAGTTCACAACAGATAAAAAATTATGCATTACAGTAACAGATTTCATTGCAATTGACAGGAAATCGCGAAGGACCAGAAATGGTCATCATAAGTCAGTGACACCTAGATTTAAGACGAGTCAAAAGTAAAAATTGCAATTAAAGAAAGCAATGGATACAAAGAGAAACTTGCATGAAACAGGGAGTGATATAAATATTCATATACGGTAGCATTTGAGAGAGAAAAAAAACATAAGGCGGGAAAATTCAGTGATTAATTTTTTTTTATCTTCGTTCATTTCGTCATGCAGGAAATAATACACAAATTCAAGGCACAGCTTATACAATACAGAAACGGATTTAGTCGCAATTTAAAAGCAGTGGCTTTCATCGCAAGAAACAGAAGGGGTCATCATAAGTCTGCGACACCAACATTTGATGAGTCAAAAATTGAAATAATAAAAAAAGGTAACGGTAGAGAATATTAGTCATTCGAAAAAATTGTCCAACAAGGGGAGGGAGGGTAAAGATTCCTGTGAAACATCACATAATTTTAGAATGAGATAAAAAAAAGTCTGGGAAATACAATAAGACAGAGTAGTTTTGAGAAAAAAAAACGGTTTAGCATATCAATTTGCTGAACTTCTGTATAATGGCAACTATTAAATATTGTCACTTGCAACATCAAATCGAGCTATATTTTTTTTTGCAGAAGAATAAATAAATAAAAATTACATAACTTTTAGGTACGAATGCGAAAGCAGAATTCATACTCTATGTACATCCAACATATGAGATTTGAAAGTGAGAAGAGAAAATGATGCAGTTTAAATCTGACTGTGAAATAGGAAAAACAGTCTCGGTGAACTTATTGCCACCAACTAACAAATGTCAGCCGGGCCATCAAAAATCCAGAGAACAGAAACATATTCAAGCTTATAAGTCTAAAGTGATTGCATGAGTAATAGAAAATTTAGAATGAGGTGATTGAGGTATGTCATATTGATAAAGCAAAATCAATTCATCGCGACTGTAAAAGCTATCATTTTCATTCCCAAAATCACCACCATTTTATACAATTCGTGATTTGTTCGCTGTTCTACATAGGTAATATATTCAAAAATTTGCATTGCACCTTATTCATCATGTATGTTTTTCTCAATATATTTCAGATGGTGATTATACAATCACAAAAAGCTGTGGTGAAGTTCAAACAAATGTACCCTTGCTAAGCATTCTTGGTTGGGAAAGTTGAATTGTGTTCTCATGTTGTTGCAATATATTTTGAACCTACTTATGTTGGGAATTCTAAATTAAGCAAAATATTATTGTGTTCAAATTTGAATAAGAAATTGTTTCTTTTTTAATGCTATTGCAACCAAAGCCAGTGTAATAAGACCAGATCCCAATTTATTGTAAATTTGAGACATAACTTTCTTCAAAAAATTAAGTCTACCTTAAATTTCAAATGCCATTCACATTTAATTTCTTGCATATCACCATTATTGCAATTTATACAAATCAACTTATGTAAAATTTCATTTTTAATAAAAAATATCATAATTATTGTTGAGTGTTCGAGAGGTGCGAGTTTGACATCTTGGTCTACAGTGCTGGATGCATCCAAATGATATCCAGCTTCAGCCCCGATCATCTATTAAACAAATTCCACATCCAGTAGGGCATTTATGCAGAGTCCCAACAACTTGGGGGATCATTCCTTTTCCTAATTTTCAATTGTAATCTTCTTATTAAAACATGATTGGTACCTAATCAAGGGTGAAATTTCCTTTCTTGATAGCTGCTTTCTCCCTCCATATAGTTACATTCTTTTGCAGTGCATTACAATATACAATACAATTTTATTTTGATTACTCTCACTTTGCAAAGTACGTCATTTCATAGATAGCTCTTAGATATGTAATCTTTTTCCTCTGGAAAGTTTAGCTCCCAAATATCAGGCAAATCCTGCTCGGTGTATTCCAGTGCAATGACTGAATGAGAAAATCCCGTCTATCCGTCTGATTTGTGTGACTGTGTAACAGAGCAGCTCAAATGCATAACATATATACAAGCTAGTCTGTATTCAATCTATAAATGAGAAAAAGACTGTTGAAAAAACGCTAACACACAGCGATATATTTAAACAAGTCAAAGCAACGCACAAGTATAAACCTGACGAAACGTGCTACGAGGCAACGAGTGTCCCCCTA